CCCCAAAACCCCAAAACCCCAAAACCCCTTATTGTCTTCAAAGTTGAGTAATAAATATGAATTCTGCAAATTATTGAGTTTGCCCCACTTGCAAATTTGACTATAACACAGGCATTTGCTGTCCCAAATTCTTGCCTTGAGGCCATACAGCATGCTTAGGATGCATAACTAGAGCATATATTAACATGTTGGAGTTTGAATGACAGATGTGTGGAAAAATTGACTCAAATCTCTAAATTTAGAACTCCCAGACCCAACTCTTCTAGAGGATGACCAAGAAACCTTAAAAGTAATTGAAGCCATAAAATATGCTCATGGATCTCGCAAGGAGAGAAGCAGTGTAAGAGCCTGCTTAACTATAGCGTTCTCCTTCCCCGAATAGAGGACAGAAGAGGTTTCCTCATACAGATAAACCAATTAGAGACTTCAGAGATTCTATAAGCCAACGGACTATAAGTGAAAGGGACATGCTCGCTGACAGCGACAGTAGAATGAGTGTTGACGGTGATCGAGCAAACAGGTATTTTCTTCCAAATTTATAATAGTGGGGCCTTTTATGAAAGAAGAAACTCCTTCCAACAAAGATTTCAGCCCAAATTCACCTCAAGAAATGCTGATTTTGGTCGAAAGAGGACAGACTATCATACTACAAAGAGAGAGGTGTTGTTTAAAGATCAGGATGAAAATAATTTTAAAGAGAGGTAAAACTGCATCATAAAGTTTAGAGAGTTTTCATTCTCAAAGGAAGACAAGTTCAAAACTCCTGCTCCTGCAAGAGGGTTCAAGCTCATATCACCTCTGTCTGTGAATCCCTTTAAGGAGCCAGAAGGTAATGTTTTCTTCTAAATATATGCTGATAACTCAGCTATTTAGAAGTCAAAGAAGAACAAGGTAAAAATACATTCAATATATCTACTGAATGACTCAGAGATGGATGTAAATATCTGAGAAAGACTGAACCCAATAGATACAACACAGAAGGGGTGACTGTAAGTCTCATTCCATTCATTCATAGTACTCCAACAAATATTGAAGTGAAGATTGCCAAAAGATAGCAGAAAATTTCAAAGATTTCAGTCACTCTAAAACATTTGGGTTTAGGTCAAGCAAGTTCTCAAGAAACCCTTTCAGAAGGTAACCTGATACAAGATCATTATAGAATGGCTTAATCTCAGAATTAAGGGAAGTGGATAATAGTAGAAGTGGCTACTATTACTCGGAAATATTCAATCAGCTTTATTGGCAAAGGGGTTTTGGGGTTTTGGGGTTTTGGGG